CTGGAGCTCCAGCAGTGATTTGAAGCTCTTGGGGCTCTGGCTGCCACTGCTCCTTGAATTGCCAGGCCCCAGGTCGACTACTTTCTTTGCCACCCCTGCAGCATCCATAACACCAGGCAATGCAGGTTACTGGCCTCTAAAGCCATAACCCAAGCAGTTCACATCACTGACCTAGGGTACCTGTAGCACAGAGCAGCGCCCTCTAAAGTGCCCACAACAAAGGACTATGCAAGGCAGTTGCCCCCCAGGAGACCCAGTATGCAGGACATGGAAGGGCAGTAACTCCTTAGGGTGAGTAACATGGCAGGGCAGGATGTTGATCTCTATGGCAACCTGTAGCTCTGATGGGAGAGCACAACCTGTTTGGGAGATGGCAGCAGTGCAGAGGACCCTTAAAGGCACTGGTCCAACCTCCGAAGCATTCCCTTCCTGTCCTTCTCCAAGTTCAGCAGTGCCAGTTCACAGCACCTTGGAAAGTACCATTTTCCTCTCCTTCACTGAGAATTTGGCCTCATCCTGGGGCTGTGCTTCTGGGGTCACTGGCCCAGGCACATCCACCACAAGCTCTTCCCTGGAGTAAAAAGGAAAGGGGTGGAGGGAAAGGGGCTGTTCACCCATCATATGCCTTAGGGAGCAAGTGTCCTGAGAACCACAAACCTCTCCCCTGTACAAAAGAGTTAGGGTAGTCCTGTACTTCAGGGCAATTTGGGGAAGGGAAGGAGAGCTGGAAGGAGAGCTGGTGTTTGGAGGGGGCAAACTTGAAGATTCCCTCTGGCTCCCATGCATGTGAAATGTTATCCAGCTACCCAGGAGAGCAGGGAACTAGAGACAGCTTCCTGTAGGGCTGTTCTGCTGGATATCTGGGGGCCCGCGTAGGTGGCAGCAGAGAAATGGAGGGAGACAAAAGGACTCGTGCAGGTGTCATACTCACCAAAGTCTGCTGGTACTGAAACGCCTTTTTTGGAGGAGTGTCCCCAGTCATATCCAGAAAGAAAAGAATATTAGGGAGGGTGTGCGGGGAGGCGTCTTCCCTTCTGCCTCCCCGCTGCAGGATTACAGAATGGGACAGATCAGAGGAGGAAGTCAGAGTGCTCCAGCTAGGAGTCCAGAGAACCTGAGAGCGAAGGTTATGGGGAGAGGGGGGAGAAAAGAGAGAGAGTGTAACCAGAGACCCCCCACTCTGTTCATACTCTGACACAGCAGCCGCTTCTCTGCTCCAATATCTGTCTTTGCTGCACTGGCACTGGGACAGCTCAGTAAATTAAAAGGTGATAAGATTTCTGTCTCCCTGCTCAGGCAGCATTGCTTCTCCATCAAATGCAGGGGATTGGGAGGGGTGAAGGGCGGGTTCTTAGGGCAGAATGGTGCTTGATTACACTTAGAGGCTAGGAGAGAGGAAGATTGAAATTGGAAGGGATAAAAGTTAATAATCACCTCTATTAAATATAGGAAAATTCTCGTGTCATCTAAGCTAAGATACTTGAAGGTATTTAGGCTCCTAATTTCCAATGATATACCTGGAAGTTAGGCACCTACATACCTTTGAGGCTCTGGGCCCTCATTTATTGGGGCCCATGCAGAATTGGTCCTTACAACACATTTCCTAGTACAATGTTATGCATTTTAAATGCCCCAGATGACAAAACTCCTACAGCAACCCTTGGAAAACTATTCCATATTTAAATCTCACTGTTCACATAGATGCCCACACATACAGTATGGGTTTTTTTTAAGTTGTCCTTGTACCCCTGCTCCTATCCCTTAGCCCCCTCACCTCCCAAGCATTTGCTCTTCCTCGAAGTCTACACTCACGTCTACATCCATAATTTAGTCAACGTAGGTTATTACAGCTTTTATTTCTCATTTCCTCCTTTTTTCTGAAAACCAATTCTTTCATCATGTCCACAAGAAGAATATTGTATAACTTATTGTAGTTTCATTAAATTAGTTTATCCAGAAATGTAAATGCCTTACGAAGCAACCTTGTCACACACCTGCCTTCCCCTCTGCCATGTGTCTGTTGGAGGCCTGTGCTTATTTTATGTCAAATTTAGATGACAGGATCTTCTGAGACTCTTGTTTTGAGGTGACATCACCCACAATTTGGTGCACAGAAATAATAATGAATAATCATGTCCTCAAGTTCTCCGATCACTTTGGTAGTGCTGAAAACTCTGCACTTTGGTAAACAGATGTCCAAAATGGAACGCATTTTCCAGCTCTGATCTCCCCACTGCTATCTTTTAACAAACTCGAACTTTTGTGATTTCATAGCTCTTGTACTACCCCAAACCACAGTAGCCTTTTTGTCTTACCATATCCCATTTTGAAGAGGTCTAATCAAGTTGCTGTTCTCTATCATCTCAAATGTTCCACAAGCCCTGCAGTTCCCAGATTTCTCCCTACTATTAAATAACTGTATTACATTATTTTTGCCTGGACTGTTTTTTCAAGTTAAATAATTTTTATCCTTTTCTAATCTCTATAGGTTGCTTTAATTATTTCCATACCCTCTGTGCTGATTGCAACTCCTTACATTTTAGCCTCCTCTGTGAACATTAACATACTGCTGATCTTCTCTTCCAGAATATTACCAAAGATCATAAATAAGAGCAGATCCAACCCTAGACACTTCCCCAGGGCAACATGTCCTTTGTCCTTCTGCCATATTTCAACCCTTGCAAATATTGCTATACAAGGTGCATTTAATTCATTTACTAAATTAAGATAAGAGCTTCTGGGAGAAAATGGTAAATATTTTCCTGAACAGTAGCCCCCATTATTCCATTCACTACCTGATGCACTGCAGCAGGGAAGAAGCATACTTTGACCCCTGGGGACATGGTAATGAACGGTGTACATTGCAGTGTCTCCCTAAAGCCCTGTGCATCCAGGCACCAGTTGTTTGAAAAAAAAGGTCAGCTCTAGGTTGCTTTCAAGCTGGGCTACTCAACTTTGGAAGCCCTGGGGGGCCACAGCTTAAGTGAGGTTGCATATACATGCAAATACCTTCTTTTACATGGTGGGCATGAATACAAAGATTAAGCCTTAAACTGTGGCGCTGGACCCAAATGTGGCCAGTGTGAGGCAGTCAGCACCTCTCAGGCTCTGCCCACAAGACTAAGCAGCGCTTCCCACAATACCCCGGTGCTCCTAGAATTGCTGACATCCTGTACCTGTTTGTTCCAGCCAGCCTATCCGCTTGCGTCTTTTCAATGCTCACCCCACCTGGGAGGTGCCTCGCCATTGTAGAGTGTGTTCACAGTGGAGGCCATTTCAAAGGATCCCACCCATGGGCCGCATATTGAGCCCCACGTAAACTCAAACCACACCGTGAGCCACAAACAAATAGGCCATTTGTTGAGTAAGAGTAACCCTGCTTTGAAAGGCAGACAGCAGCAGATGGATAATGGAGTATTGTACAGATGGATAGAAGCCACTCAGGAACATGAAGACACTGACCATGCATAAAAGAGGAGACAGTAGCAGCTCACAAGGTGATACAGTGAAATTGCAGAGGTAACCAACAATGAACCCTATTGCTTGTGCCTGATGAAATCCAGCAGCCTGGCACTATGGCAGCAGCAGCAAAGTATACTGGGAGTTCTGCTCCCACTTTTTTTGCCTTTATTTGAAGAATTTTGTTCTATGGGAAAGAGCTCAAACTACGCTACCATGGTACAGTGGCTGACCACACTCCTGCTCAATTCTCTTTTGATGTTTTCTTCTGACTCCCTGCTGACCTAGGGTATTGCTAATGAGGTGGCTAAAGATCCTCATCAAGTCTTGCAGAAAAGTGTCACAGTTATACCAACAAGTTGCTGCCTGGATGATTTTTTTAAAATAAGTGGTTTGGAAAGCTCATGAACTAATTCCTTGTACACTCCATAAAACACAGTCCATCATTAGTATTTAGCACATGCTCAGTGTTTCTATGAATCCCACTTTTTTCCTTGAGCTATCAGAAATTTTTTTTACAAAAGCTTCCTTACTTCCCAATTACCCAAAACTCTATTAATCTTTATAGAGATGGAAAAAGTTCAGGATCTTCAAATTATCATAGCTTCATTAATTTTCACTTCACAATTCTTTTCACCTGACATTTGAAAAAGGCTTATTTACAGGAACACTTTCAGCTAGAATTAACTTACTCCCGTGTGTCTTCTTTTCCCCGAAAGCCATAATTGATCCAAAATCTTAACTGGAGTTGTAACTACTGTATCTTCCACAATTCTCCAGTTAACTTCTACAGTGCTGGATTTTAATTATTTTTCTATTCCATTTCACTCACAGGTTTCTTTGCAAAGAAACCTGAAAAACTAGGTAGGGACACATATTTGAGGAAGATGGAGGGAATGGCTCATCTATAGTTTGTAAACTACTCTCTACACAAGACTGGATTATTTTTCACTGGGACCCTTCAGACCTCTATGCCTGCCTCTCTGCAGCCATCATGCGGCTTCCCATTGGTACTACAGTTTTGCTCCATACATGGCTTGCAGTAATACTAAAGGCATTGGACAGGGCCATGACATTTATGGTAACCTTTATGATGCCCATTTCTGTGACACTGGGTGGACACCAGGAAGAGAGATTTGTAAAATAATTTCTGCCTACATTCTTTCTTTAGTGTGGCTAATTCTTATAAACAGACTCAGTGCTCTCATGGCTGGTGCTCTGAACAAGAGATACTAACCTCAACCTTGTGAGAGATTTTCCATATCCTGATTCCATTCACACTGTACCAGGCACACCCACACTCAGACTGATCACTGTTGTAAGGAAGTCTGCATCACACCACAGTACCACTGTTCCTCTGTTGGGGGCACACCCTACACTGAGCGCCTGGAGTGTAGCACAAGAACACTCCCCACCCAAACTGAGTCCCTGGGCCCGGCCACACCAAAGCTCATTCATAATTCTCTTCATATACAAGTTCCATTATGAGGGTCAAAAACAGAAGGTGCAGTGTGTTCCAGTCAAGAAACAAGGCACAGAGATAACCAAACAAGATCTCTGTATTTGGCATCCAGAGGCAGTACATACATGCATACAAAAAGTATATATGAAAGTGGCAGTGACACAGACCTGGTGCAGCTCTACTGGAGTTCTCTTCACCAACTGAGGAGATGCTGCATTGACACTCATATATTGTACAACACTGCATTATTTCTGAGGAGGGAGCATTCAGAGGAAAACTTTTCATCCAGAGAGAAATTACCCCAAATTGCTGTCTTGAGCTCCAGGATAAGGAGCCAAATGACAGATATCATCACTGGTATTCTGCCCCTCGGCTGCATGAAGCACATCTCTTACTGAAAGAATATGGCCTTCATATCTGCTGGGCAGAGAGGAGGACAGACAACTAGCCTTCTGGCCTCCCTCCAGATCCTTCAACGTCTTTGTTTTCTCAATTTTAAAAAAAAAATATATAAAAAAATTCAACAGTTTTTTTTTTTTTTTAAATAAAGGAGACCCAGATAGGAATCCAGTTTAGAGGGTGCTAACATGCTGCAAGAGTAGAGAAAATGTAGGCTCAGGAATTCAGACCCTAATTCAGTACTTCTGGGCTCCAGCTACCATGAAACACGACAGGACAACAAAGTAAGGGTGCAGGATGGCCCCTGTATCTCCCTGCTCACAAGCCAGGGCAGGTCCTGGAGTGGGAAATAATTGCGGTACTGTAAATGAGACTGCATAGATTCCAATATATGGAGTGTCATACTCCATCTCTTTCTGACTGGCCTTGTGCAGTAGCACTGAACAGTGGACAATCAAAGATCTCTAGCTGAACATAGCTGGGGAGCAAAAGTTCTGGGCAAAGGAAGTGAAGCTGAATTCTGCAACCTTTACTTTTTAAGAAACTTTAAAAGGAAAGAAAGTCACTGTGCTGAAGAACCAAGGTTACAAGCTTCTTGCAAGGAACAAGATTTATACATTTCTTAAACAAAACACTAGGAAGCCACTAGGATGGAACAATTTATACTCCTCAGAAGCCTGCTGGAGTATTCAAATTGTTAGAAAACAATATAGCAATGAGATGTGGATGTGATAGAGGGGTTATTAAAATTGTACACTAACTCACATTTGAAACTCATGAAGGAAATAAGCCTGGACTTCCCAGACTCAAAATATTTCCAAGACAAGAGTTAGACTTAGAAACATGCCTTTGCTTTCAGAACCAAATCAAAGCAATGACTTCTCCAGATAATCTGATATTATCCTATGGCTGCAGAAAACACATGAAACATGCAAAAATATCAGGACTTAAAAAAAGGGGGGGGGGGTAGATGAGTGTTAAACTTAGGTGCATATAGGAAACAAAGAAAGAACCTTCACCATAGACTCTCACTGGTGACAGATTGTTTTACTGGGAGGAAGGCATCCCTTCCTGTATTTCATAGTGGCAGATCTGGAAACCAGGCAGAAAAACAGTGTTCTTGTTCTTTTTTAAAAAAGTAAAAAAGTTAAGCGGTATAAAAAATTAAGTAGCAATTTATAAAAACTATGTTGAACTTATTTTCTTAAGAAACAGACCCAAGGTTTCCAAGATTTTTTTTCCTTAAGAAAGAAAAGGCTAACTCCGATTTCACTTTCTTGGACACCAAACACGCCCACAGGTCCTTTCATTCAGAAAGTGCTGCCACCACTGCCCCTACTCCTTTGTTGAATCTCCTGGGCCCAGCAGTTTAAAGTGAGACAAGCCAGTGGAACATTAAGATTTTAAACCTTGAACTGAGTTGGAGGTCACCAACAGTTGCCATATTCTCCCAGACAGAAGAATTAGTGAGATTCACACAAGCAGGGCGAATGTCCAGTCTTGAAGGGACATTGCCTGTTGTGGCCTGCGCTGCCAAATGCCCAGACTGACAACAAAAATGTGGCCATCCACATGGAAGCTTAGACAGTACATCCATCAGAGCAGAACAGCAGGGTTAGTCTCTAGGAATATAGCCAGGGAAAAGGTAAAGATCTCGACAGAGTGTGCTACAGTACTCTGACATCTCCTTACATCGGTGGAACTCTGTGCCAGGGGCATAGCCTTCTCGCTGCTTGATCAGTCTATTCACCTGAAAAAAAAGGGGGGGTGAGTGAAATTTGAGAAACAAAGCTAAGGAAAACTGGTGCTAGTGATACGAATCCCAACACACAATTCTAGGTAGCTGTCTCAGTTCCTTCTAGAAAGGAGGCTCTATAGATTGTGGTGGGAAACCTGCGGCCCCTGGCTTGCCTCAATCTAGGGAAAGGTGGGAAACCTGCGGCCCCTGGCTTGCCTCAATCTAGCCCCCTCCCTCAGCACTGGGAAGCCTGCGCTGGCACTCCACATCTCCCTCCCCCTCACTATCCTAAGGACCCCCCTCCCTCAGCACTGGGGAGCCTGCGCTGGCACTCCACATCTCCCTCCCCCTCACTATCCTACCGTGGGGCTGGAACTCACAAAAATCTACTAGCCTGGGGGTGAGCAGCCCCCCCAACCCAAAAAAGGTTCTCCACCCCTGCTATACATAATGGTACAGGAGCAATGGCTACAGGAGGCTCTGACATGGCCATTCACAGCAGGAGATACTATTGAGCAGTGGCTCGCAAACTTATTTGATTGCACATACACACCAGTAGTTTAGTCTAGGGCGAGATTAGTCTAGGGCCAGGACCCTTCAAAGGCTATTAGATTTTGGGGGGTGAAGCCAAAAATTAGGGGGATTAGTGTGTGGGAGGGTGGGCATGGTGCAGGAAGGGGTGAATACTTGGACTACAGTGCAGGGGGCTCCAGGCTGCATTCAAGGGAATTGGAGCGTGGGAGGGAGTTCAGGGCAGGAGGCTGGGGTGAGAGTGCGGAGTCAGGGCAGGAGCTGGTTCAGGACTGAGGTGTGGGCTCTGCAAAGGAAATAGGATGTTGGATGGGGCTGCAGCAACAGAACAGGTAGCTCCAAGCAATCCACACTCACTTGCAGGCACTGCTCCCCACAGCTCCCACTGGCCAGGAATCACAGCCAATAGGAGCTGCAGAGGGTGGTGTCTGCAGCTGAAGGCAGCACCAGGACAGAGCTTCCCACTGAGATGCTCAGGCACAGTTACATGTGAGGGGTGGGAGGGAAGGAGAACAGCTTGAGGCCCCCCTTAGCTCAGGACCATGAGCTGCAGCCTCCAAAGCCCCCTTCTTCATCTGACCCTGCCTGTGCCACTACCCCAAGAACACATACCTCCTCCCTGCTCTGAAAGCAGAGTGGAGAGTAGCAACTGCTGGCCTGACATTACCATTCTCTGCTGCTGGTGGCGGCACTGTCTTCAGAGCTCCACTTCTAAACCTTCTCACACACCTCCAAAATACACTCTGCATCCCTCTCAAAGGGCAAGCAGGAGCATTCTCCTGTGGCCAGCTTAGTCCTAACAACTTGAAGCGTAACACACTGCAAGAACCAGGTGAACGTAAAAGAGGGGAGTCTCAGCTTACCTTCACCAACATGTCAGCCACATGCATGTTTTGAGAATCCTCGGCAAACACAGAAGTGAGTGCCTCGACATACCAGGATCCGCGCTTGGTGTTTCTCATGGCAGCTGTGCCTGAAAAGACAGTGTGTGTTAGCCCATGAGGAAAACAGAGGACAGACAGTCACAGGAAGATCCAGAGAAGGAAGTCTCTAGAGGACACAGACAGGGAAACTGCTCAAGCTCAGAGGAGAGCCACCACTGTTAATAGCCTCATGGGCAGGAAGACACCTCCACGGGTCCCTCCCTGATACCTTTCAGACAGGCATAGCCACAGATCATGTCAGAACATGTGGGCAATCGCAGCCTGGGATTCTCCTCCTTATTGGCATCACTCTCCTCACAGCCTGGAGAGTCAGAGCGCTCTTTCCCATCCTTCTGATCCACTCCTCGGTCTGTCTCATCTGGAGGAGGGAGGGGAAAAAAAACAGAGAAAGAAATTACTCCTAACCCTCCCTTATATTCCCCCAATCACCGAACTCCATCTGCTTGTCTAGTACTGGCTTCCTTTGTCCAAGACCCCCTGTGACAGCTCTTAATGCAAAAATATTCTCTACAGCTGCTGCATTTTTGTATATGTATCTTATCAAATTTCAACAGAAAATCTTTTTTTCCTTGCCTACCACATTTAAACTCCTCTTTCCTTCTACATTTGGTCTTCTACGATTACTGGAAGCAATAGTAACAGTTAATACAGAGCCAACACTTCCACAGCTAATTTAGTATCACTGATGTAGTATCACCATCTCTTATTCACTGTCTATACATTACAGTATAGCATAGCTTTATAATCACTGAGCATGTGGGTGTGTTGGGATTTGGAATTTTGGCCAGGTTTTAAGGAGTGTGATGCCACTTCCCAACTAAAGCCCCAAATCTTCCCTACAATCCTAGGATAGCAATGTTTCTGCTAACATAGCAGTTCACATGTCAAGTACTGCAACAGAATCCATTTAAACCTATTCGTTTTCACTGAGATGAAAATTGGGAACCCCTGCACTGTCCAGCTGCACTTCTGGATGGATTCTCTGTACAGCCATGAAGATTAGAAACATTTAAAAATTAGAGCCTCAATACTGCATGAATAGGAGGAGATACCACAATGTGCTAGTGTATACCTCACTGCAATGAACCGACCCCGTCCAATCAGACCAGAGATGACAGATGTTTTGCATTCCTCTCCACCCTCTACTCAACTAAAGGTGACTTTGACAAGAAAAAAAAAGTGGTTCTTTTTTAGTTCTTTATAATGTATGAAGACTGAAAGGGCATGGGTTTTCCATTCAATGTTTTTCCCCCCTCCCGCATTCCCTTAGAAATTTCAGGGACAGAGAGTCTGGTATCTTCAGTTCTTTTTGCTAGAAGATTCAGATCTGAACTGCAAAGTCTCTTAGCTCTTAATCTGAAAGGACATGGAGAGGAGAGCATAAGAACAGAGATCTGAATCAATTCAAGATTGATTTAGTCCAGTGTCCTGACAGTAGCCAACTCCAGCTACTTCAAAGGAAAGAGTAAGAACATTGCAGCAGGTAGATGGGGAAGGGGAGATAAAGCTTCCCCTACACTGGGTCTCATGTAGCTGTCAAGCTAGTTTAAGTATGCTTAATATCCCTTCCAGAATTTGGTAACATTAGTTGAGAAATGAACATTCTTATTGATACTCATGATAACCAGACTCCTCCTGGATTTTGGCCACAATGACTTCCAGCAACAGAGCTCCAAAATCCAAAAAAAGTATTTATTGTGTGAAATTTCACACCTTTTAAAGCACTTAACTTTCCCTTTGTCCTTCTGTTACAAAAGAGAACAGAATTGCTCATTTTATCTTTTGCAGACCAGTCACTGCACAGGCTTATCATATGCCCTTTATCTCCAATCTTTATAGTCCCTTCATAACAAGAGTTTCTCTCATTGCTCTGCTCTGAACCCCTCAAAAGCTGCAATATCCTTTTGGAGATGGGATGACCAGCGCTGAACACAGTATCCAGATGAGACTAAGCCAATGATTTATACAGATGCATTATAATGCACTCTGTATCATTCTACATCCCATTCTTTATACATCCTAGCATTTTGTTTCTCCTCCCTTTTTTCTTTTTAAACCACAGCTTCACACAGAGTAAAGTTCATTATTGAACTATCTATAATGCTGCCTAGGCCCCTTCTCTGAATTGACATAGTTAATTTAGACTGCTACCAGGCTTATAAGTAATTTAAATTTTTTCCTCCAACATGCATTAGTTAGTATTATCAACACTGAAATTCATTTGCTATTAGGTTACCCAGTCCCCTAGCTTTTTTCCTCTCAATTATTAGTCAGGCATTTACATTAAGCAGATGTTAACAAAAAACAGAAAAATATAGAATTTTAAACTAACAAACCAGAGTCTTTTAATAACCTAAAAACCATATAGTCATCTGTAAAGATCTCCTGCAAGAACAGGTTAGATGAGATTAGATATTTCTAATGGAAAAATAAGTGAAGAGGGGAAAGAGCTGATGGACAACTTTTAAAACAAAAAGAACCTTTTAGAACTGCTTTAGACAAGAAAGACTTAGAAAAGGGTACAAGCTCTTTTTTTTTTTAAATAGATTTTCAGGTAACTCAGATGTATTTTCACTTCTCTACAAGAGAGGATCTGCTGGCACAACACAGGGAATATTATTATAATCATACTAACATTTTACTGTATGAAGTTTCCACATGGATTACCATATAACTACAAGCCTTTATGATACTTTAAAAAAATCTGAGTACCTCTTTGCCTAAGCATTCTTATTGAGGCCTACACAGAAGTTTTTATTTTAGAAATCAGGGAGATTTCCAAGTCTGATTTAAATTTACCAAATTCAAATAGCTGGCTTAAATTTTGCTCAAACATCCCAACTTTAGAAATGAACTTTCAACCCAAAATTTGTGAGGAAGTTGCAATCAATTATGAAGTGCTGCTTTGAAGCACTTGCTCCTCTTCCCCCCTTCCCCTTGCTGCCTCTTTCTGACAGAAGCAGTAAGGGGGAGGAGGGGAGGAGCGACTAGTCGTTCCCATCTATACCACTGACACAGACAGAAAGACAGCATGTTCAACAGATGCTGTAAAGAGAGAGCATCTGTGTTGGTTTGTATCATAGCATCAGGGCCAAAAAGAGACAATCACTTGGGAAGGATCTGCATGCTGAAGAGCAATATTAGAGTTACAAAAGGACCAAGAATCGGCACAGAAAAAAAATAAGTGTGATGGGGACAGCGAAGTAGAGAAAAGGAGATTACTACAAGATTAAAAGGACCCTGGAAAAGGGTTAGTAGGACAAGTAGGAGACTATAGACTTGTTGACGTAGGTGGCAGGATGTGGGGGTATATGTAATTTTATTCCTGGGAGAGTTCTGTGCCAAACAATTCATTTAAATTACAATACAGAGGTACAAGAAATGCTGTCAGAAGCAGTGCAAAGGCGTGGGGGAGTTAGGGGTAATAGAGGAGCTGATGTAGAGGGAAAGAACTTGGAGTGAACCTGGTGGGTTTTTGGTATGGTTGGGAAAAGTATATAACAGGGTTTTTTGGGGCGTTGTGCATGGAGAGAGGAGAGAAGGAGGGAAATTGTTTTGGAGTTAGGGAGCCTCCCCCATGTAGATGCTGGCTGACTCCAAGCTTCTTCCATTCAGTTAGGCATACCTGTTGCTATCCTAATACCCCCATACCTATGTGTCCCTGGTGCCTCCCCGCACCAACCTTTCTCCCCCCCCATTCCCATTCAGCCCTTGGCTTAATGCCTCTGTGCTGTCATCCCACTACTTTCTGAGCCTATGCCCCAGTCTGTCCCTCTCGCTAGCCATTCTGAACTCCAGTCTAAGACCATGTCCAGCAAGCCTCTCTGTCCTAACCTGGCTCTGTGGGTAGTATTCTCTGATGAACTTTTACTCCTGGGTAAATTTTGTGCCACTGCACAAACACGGAATTCCCTCAATGCCTCCAAAATACATTCTGCCCTCAACGTGCTGTAGAGCTGTTTTTTGCTCAGAGAGAGGTGGGGCATCAGACCAGCCTGCTGCATTTATGCTGCTGGCTGTTCTGGTGCCACAGCAGCTCTGCTGGATGAAAGGGAGAACTGCAGCATGTTGGGAGCAGAACGTATTTTCTGTGAATCCTGTCCCCCTGCAAGATATATTATTTTGTGGGGAATTCATGTTGCACAAGTGACAAGCAGTGAAAAGCAGGATGCAGTGTGTAGTTACCTCTGGCAATGAAAGGTAGAAGAGAAAGGCTCTGGATGCTCCTCCTGACAGAGCCTTTCCCACCTGCCTCTTCACTGCAAGAACTTTTGTCTACTACTACAGACCTTCACTATGGTGGGGAAAGGCTCCAGCAGTGAGACACTGCACTGATTAGAATGGGAGGCACTGCTTGGGTGTGCAAAAAGCCACACAAGGTGTACATCCTAAGGTGTACATCAGGCATGTATCTACTCACCTAAACAGTTCATCAACTACTTTATTTATAAGCATGCTAGGGGGATGTGCAGTGAATGTATCCTTCATGCTACCATGCAGACAGAGCCTATAAATGGGGAAGAGAAAGGACTTCAGGAACAAAAGGAGACAGAGAGGAAGGAAGAGACACGGAAAATGATTTGGGGACCAGAGGGGGGATAAGAGGAAACAGCTCTGACACTAGGAGAAGCCCGGTCTGGGAGCACAGGAAGGAGAAAGAGGAGACAACAGCTCCAGGACACAGGGAAAAAAGGTAGGATTTCAGGCAAGACTCAAGAGTATAGCTGCACAGGGATTACTGTATCATTATATGTACTTACTCCCCCATGCAGGCATAGCAAGAGAAAACCTTAAGTGGAAGTACCATGATAGAACTTGCATTCCCAAGGCTCCATGGGGTCTGTGATTAAATGCATACACCCCATGCAGAGTGAGAGGCACTTACAGACAACAGAGGTGGTGGCAGCGGCAGGGTAGAGGGAGGTGAATGTGGGTTCCACTTACACCTGAGAGAAGCAAAGAGGAGAGTTGACAGCAAACTGAATGGGAGGGTGTGCCACTGTGTGTGTAAACCAGAGTCCAGCTTTAATGTCGTGCCAAGTATCTGGCTGTCATGATCTCTGCATTACTCACCTCCACGACAGGCCTGAATGAAGAACATTTTGGGCTTGTTCTGGAGATTTGGGCAGTTTGCATTATCAAAGAGCCTGAAAATCTCCTGCAACTGTGAGAAGGAAGAAAAAAGAGCTAAACACATGTGCTTGGTACCTCCCCCATCCCTCTATAATTTCCCTTTATGCTTCTTGCATAAAGTATTACACTGAGTTCCCCACCTCTACACATGTGCTTTCAAACTCCCCATCACCTGCTTGCCCTGCCAATATTCCTCCTCCCCATTACTATTTCCTAACGCTATGGAAGTGATTATTATGTAGGAAGGTACCTGCAGTAACTTGCCATCAACTCCATAGATCCCACCCTCAATGCCATGTGAGAGTAGGGCCACAATGCAGGAATCCACATCTCGGTGTGCTTGTAGCTGAGAGAACCTTTGCAATGCCTCCAGCATGTCCTGGAGAGAGAGAAACACACTCAGTGTTCCCTTCAGAAAGGGAAACAAAGGGAAGGAGCCAAATGATGCGCCTGGGGAAATTTTTTGCCACTGTGCATTCAGAATATGCACAGAAATCAAAGGTTTTTGTGCTGAATTTCCTTTTCCTTCATAGAAATAAGCTGCTGGCCACCACTAGAGGCTTCTAGACACCACAGAGCACAGCTCAAATTGCTGGGGAGGGAGGGAGGAGGAAAAGTGCATTGGAGTATTCAGGGCAGCTGCAGTTATCAGCACACACTGAAGGAAGGAGGCAGCATGCAGGACACTCCACACAAGCCTGGGATCCAGTATCTGGCTTTTTTCTCCCTCTGGATCCCTGGACTCTGAAAGGAGAAGGGGGTGTGAGCATCTGGTCCAGGAATTGCCCAACAGCTGGACTCTAAGGGGTAAGGGCTAGGGTGTGCATGTGAGCATCTGGGCTGGAAGGTGACCTGCAGCTGCGCTCTGGAGGGGAGGGGGCAAAGGAACAGGTACTGGGTTGTTGCAGGGGTTTCCTTAACTCTCTACTCCTGTAGGAATTTGTGTGTACAGTTACATATATAGTTGCTGATTGTATTTATGAAAACATTATGTAATCACGCTAGCTTAAATTACCAAAATAAGTGATTTCAAAATACTATATACAGAATTTTAAAATACTGTGCACAAAAACTGTTAATTTTTTATGAAGAATTCCCCTAGGAGTAAAGTGAAACACAAATATAATTTAAGGGGAGAAGAGGAAGAACTATTCAAATAGTTTTGAACAGTACTAAAATGCTTCTATTTCATTCCTAAAGATTCCAAAACATTTTGTAGGCTCTTCACAGAAATCACTCAACCTCTGAAATTCAGATGTTGAGGGTGAGGCACAGCCATTTAAGCGGGATGAAATTCCATAGACAATTACAGTGAAAGCTGTGTTATCTGGCACTCATAGGGAACGGGGGTAGCTGGTTAATTGAATGTGCAGAACAAAGCAGCTCTGCCTCCACTCCATACTGACAAAACTGGCTCAAGGCAGACTGAGGCGGAAGGAGACTGATGATGTCAACTGGCAGTGCCAGTTGTTAGAAGCCCCACAATGGCCAGCTGGACAGGCAGGAGTCAGGCATGTGCACCTGAAGATGCGGTAGTATTGTTAACCAGCTTTGTGGCTGGGGACACAGTGTCAGGTAACAAAGCTTTCACTGTATCCTTGCATAGGGAACTTAGATTGACAAAGTATAATTTGCGAAAACTAAAGTCTGACCAGGATACTGGGACAGCTTTTGGGATAAGTGCCCACAATAATTCAGGTACTCAGATCCTAATGTTGATGAACATGGCAGAACTGTTTACAATGGATCAATATAACCACAGCTTCTTGGGTTTGATCTGTTATGCAGAAAATGGCTTCTGCAGCAGCACAGCACCTGTTAGTGGGCATTCATTTAGTTCAGTACTGATACAGAGGGAAGGATGCTCCTGCAAAATGAACAACATAGAACAAGTTTGCTGAGGAGACAGATGTCTACCAGCAAGACAATAGGCCTGGCAGTCAAGAGACCTGGGTTTTAAGAAAGTCTCTTACTTTACTTGCCACAAGATTTTGTATAAATCATTTTAGTTTCACAATCTACAAAGTGCATTTGTGTGCCACATACTGTGAGACTTAATCAGTGAACATCTATGAGGTTCTATGAGATCCTCAGAATGGAACAAGAGAAATGCTGATTATTTAGCCAGAACAAAATAACCCCACAACTACTACCCTTTGTTAATGTTAAGTTAAGCATGTTAGAGAAACATGTTAGGGAAAAAAAATAGTACCATAATTTAGCGAATGTTTTTACAAACCCTGCACCCCTCTGCGAGGTATACAGAATTTTTTTTACTCACCAGGTGGTGAGCTCTCCGTTGCCTCTTCTTGTGTCTAGCAGCCACCAGCCTCCAGGCGGGGGAATGCTCACCCCCCAGTTTCTGTGAAGCTGCAGGAAGGGGCAGGGGAGCGCTCATTCCCCTGCCCCTTCCTGTGGCTGTGCAGGAACCAGGCGGTGAGTGCTCCCCAGCCCAGAGGCTGGTGGTTCCTGCTCCCCCGCCCCTTCCTGCAGCTGCAGAGGAGCCGGGGGATAAGCGCTCCCCAGCCTGGAGGATGGCGGCTGCACATGAATCAAGGCGGTGAGTGGCTGGCTATTCCCCCCTGCACCGTAAATTAGCAAATATATCCCTGGCACAGAAAAGTCTTGTATACGCCCGTGGGTTATACAAGATTTTTTTTTACTGACCGGGGTATATTCGGATGAGGAGTATATTCACTAAATTATGATACAGCTGCAGTTAAAACCACCACCCTTACTACTGAAGAGCATGACAGTAGTACGGTAACATCTCTAAAGACTGAAACCTTTAACAGACCACACATTCTCCAACACAAATATGTACATGGAAATGTTAATCTTAGACTTTCCATATACAGACTTAAAACAATTTTCATATTGTTGACTTTATGCTCATTGACACCTTCTCTTACTAGGGATATTAAAACTTACTAATCAAGTAGCCAATAAAAATTCTATCGACTACTCAATTAGTTGATAAAGGAAGGCAGCCAGGACCAAACCCCACCGCCGCTCTGCAATTTAAAATGCAGAAGCCAGGCAGCCTGCATCCCAGCTCCTACTGCATTTCAAATTGCACAGCTACAGTGGGGTTTGGTTCTGGATCTGGCATGAGCAGGGACTGAGCCAGGCTGCCTGCCCACCTCGCTCCTATTACATTTTAAATGCAGAGCTGCCCGTTCCCCCCAGCACCGTTCCCCCAGTACTACCTGCTTCCCCCACACTACTGCAGAGGCAGCCATGCAGGCTGCTCTGGCAGTGGCTTGGGACCCCCGTGGACAGGGGCCGCTGCCAGAGCAGCTTCCCCTCTGCTGGCTCCCCTCCCCCCACGCTACTGCCTCTGCAGCAACGGAAGGGAGGGAACAGGCAGCACTGCAGAGATGGTGCTCGGGGAAACCAGCTTTTAAGCCAGCTCCCCCCAGCACTGGCTCCTCCTTTTCCCCTCCTCCTTGATGCTTCCATAGCAGAAATGCGAGTAGTCGACTACTCACTTACATCCCTACCCTCACCATCACCAGCCACATCCACTGGCTGTCAGCTTGTCTCCACAGAATCTATTCCCAGACACCCATGCAATTTGCTACAACCCCACTCTCTAGGCAGCAAGAGAACCTCCTCACCTGCATAGTTTGATCATGTAGGACAGTCACTCTGTAACCAAGATGCTTAAAGAGCATCTCCAGAGCAGTGTAGTCCACATCTCCACCTGAGCGGAACTCCAGGTCCTTTTCGCTGCTGAAATGTATGTTGCTGAGCACAAGTGCTAGGCCCCGGGGCTGTGATATCAATTTATATGCCTGTCAAGAACAGAGAAGGTAAGAAATAGGTAAACACAGCTATGCAGGAGAAGAAATGAAGTCACAGGGTAATACACACCCAACTTCTTTACTGTGATGAGGTATGCAAGACCTTTGAGACACAAGAAATGCAAGAGTAACACAGAGAAATTCTCTTAGACAAGAAATGCTCTTTTCTATGTGGGGGAAATTCTTCATCATTTAAACAGGTACTGCGACATACAGACCAATGGAGAATTGGATACTTCTCCCATAGGATTTGTACAGTATACAAATTCAGATGCTGTGAATCTGGGGAGCAATTCCTCCCTTTCCAGCTGAGACAAAACTGAAGTAGCACAGTTGGTCCTGAGAGGCAGGATAGGCAGCTCCAACTCAGATGAAACAGATATGTGCATGGACTGATAAGCACATGTAACTGCAAGCATTGGCATAAAGAGGGACTGACTACAACAGCTGTCTCTAGGTATTCCAGAAGCACGTGTCTGTAGCACAGGATTATGGCACTCACCCACAGTTCTCTCAGACTCTTACTGGTGCGAGTCACATTAGGTGGAAAATGGGTGGTGATGTCTTTCAGTTACATGTGCATCAATATATATTTACAGCCCCAAAATGCATTTTTCTTCACTTAGCTTCTTTGTGGAGTGCTCTTTCTTCAGCTGACCCATCCAGAAATTCCACTTGTAGGGATTAAGGATGTAAAAAAGACTAGTTGACTAGTCGACTATCCAATAAGCATTTGCTTATAGGATAATATTTTGACTAGCTCATTGAGGGACTCAGAGTCCCCAGCTGACCCCAGGCTCCACAGCTGCCCCTTTAAAACAGGCGGAGGTGGCAGTTTCAAAGGGGAAGCTGTCACACAGCTAATCAGGTGTGCGGCGACTTCGCCTTTGAAACTGTCACCTCCGCCCGTTTTAAAGGGGCAGTGGAGCCTGGGGTCACCCTAACCCTAACCCCAGCTGATCCTGGGTTCTGGGCAGCTGCCTTGGAGCCCGGGGTCGATTAAGGACTCCCTAGCTTACCCTGGGCTCCTAGGAGCATGCAGTGTAGTATGGAGCCCGGGGTCAGTGGGAGACTCAGTCCCCCGCTGACCAAGGGCTCCATGGCTTTGAAATGCACAAGAGCCCCTGCTCTTGTGCATTTCAAAGTAGGCACGCTGGATGCAGCCCGGAGTCAGCAGGACTTCACGCTGGCCCCAGCTGTATGCGGAGTTCTGCATTCTTCCCCTGAAATGTAGAAGACCCCAGCAGGTACTCTTGTACATTTCAAAGGAGGAATGAGGAAGTGCCTATCGCAGTGGTCCCCAACTTTTTGGGGCTGCTGAGTGCCTGGGGGCGAAGCTGCTCATACGCTGGTCATGTGGGGGAGGGACCACGCACACTCCCAGGGGCGGGGCCGCCCATACGCCACGCGCCTGGGCTGGCACAGACCTCGCACTGCACACCCAAGGGTGGGGGCCGCGTAACCGCCATGTGCCTGGGGCCAGCACCGCCCATGCGCCCAGGGGCTGGCACCGCCCATGCGCCGCGCGCCCGGGGGCAGGGCCAGCCCTGATCACTTGGGCTGGCACACAGAAATGGCCCGGCGGGCGCCATGGTGCTCGCGGGCACCACGTTGGGGGACCACTGGCCTATCGACTAGTCGAGTAACCACATTTTAACATCCTTAGTAGGGATGAAGTACTCCCTCAATTCCTGCCCCATCAAATACTCACCAAATGCTGGTGAGCATGATAGAATTCTGGGGTGCATGGCTTCACCATAGTGCAAGGAGGACCATCTCCATTATCTAAGGAATGGTTCATCGGCTCTGTTTGAGAGATACAGAAATCAACAATGAAAAAAACAAAAGATTTGGTAGCAAAACATAGTTAAAATGAAACAGCTAGTTGGACACAGTATACAGGTATTACTGCTTTTACTGGTGTTTGCCCTGCACAGACAATACTTTTCATATAAAGACATTGGAGCCTATTGTTTCCTGCACAATCAACAAAATTGTTTACCAAGTTCCAATCAGTTACATCCATGCAAACCCACTGAAGATAACTAGGTTGGGGATAAGTGACAGTTTGTTTTGTCAAGCTGGGCTTTCTCCTGCTCATCCATCATCACCAGTAATAAAACTACTGCAGGCCAATTATGCCTTCAGTGACACTCACGGAATCCTACTGTTTTTAATAACTTTTGTACCAGTGTAATTAACTGGAACTGCACAACAGGGAAAAGAAACTAGATCACTCCTGAGCCATAGCGTTTCTGCAGCAGTAGAATCTTTTTAGTTATTAAAATGTGTACAACTGAATACACATAGGAAGCAGACTTCTGAAAAGAGATCATTTTAGTCACTTTTCAGTAACCTGCTACAAGACTGGGATCCCATGGTCCCCACAGACTCAGCTGCCGTAACAGTGGGAGCAGGCAAAATGTACTTTGTTGCAGATGGTACTGGGTGGGCAACAAAACAAAAACCAGATTGTGGTAATTTGCGGAAAAATATTAAATCTCTAAACAGTTTACTAAAAGTAGCCTATTCAAGAAATTGCTAAATATTATTCCTGAGCATCTTTCTCTCCTTTACATGTTAATCTCTCTTGTTCCAAATGCAGTGAAATATATTGGCTCAAGGCCAGTCAGATAATCACATTCTCAGGTTTTGTTTTTCTGTGATGTCACATGGTGTCACTGTTGTATCAGCTTGCTGTCAGTGTTGTGAGCAGTTTTTCTGTGAAATGTTTTTCAAAAAAGCAATAGTAATCCTGACATATAAATAATTTGATTGGTATAAGTTCTAGCAACAGTGTTTGAGTGGTTTAAACAATTACTGGGTTCTTTTAAACAACTTTTTATAATCTTTAAAACATTCTGCACCTTTCAAGGCAAAACTGTGGTGCAATTTGTTTTGATGTTGTGTGAGATATACACAGGACAACAGTATGTCAAATTAGAATTTCCGCAATGCAAAGAAAGGTTTTGTTTTGTTAACTGAAAGCTTTTAATTGTTAAATTTAAGAAATAGATAGAAAAAGGTAGGATGTCTAATATAAATTGACTTTTTTCTTTTTTATTTTTAAAGTAGCATGGGGGAGTCCGTCTTTCTTGCAGGGTCTAAAGTATTTGTGAGTGGGATAAAAATGCAGTAAAAATGCAGGAACAGCAGCGGGTATTACAAGGCAGAACTGAAGTGGGATTAAAAAATAGTCATATGCAGGTACTAGCTGGCAATACTTCCTCACAACACAATTCTTAGGGCTGACTATATTTCACATGCGCCATTCCCACAGAGTGACAGGGCATGCTCCCTTCAATCCAGCCCATGGAGGCAAAACTGGATGTTCTTTGCAGATGCTGCTCCTGGCTGGTCAATGCTAAAGTGGAACTGGGGACAAGAAATGAAAGCAGGGAACCTGTCCGTTGGTGTACCATTAAAATCAATTACCTATCCACGCCCTAAAAGTGCACTCCGATGAAAAATGTCTAATGAAGTTTCTTTACAATAATTCACAAACAAAATTGGACTTAAATTTTAAAAAGTGTTAAGATAAGCAATGTTAACATTCAAAATATTTTTCCAATAACTTCTCCTTCCCAATAGATTAAGGGTGGCAAACCAACCATACTTACTCATAACGATATTAAGAAGAATTGTTAATGGTAAGATTAAGAGCATTTGATAGCTATATTTTAAAAGGTTTGTAATTATGTAGCTTGACTGAGCACAGATGAGATAATAATTAGACCACGTCCTTGCTAGAGTAAGTGTGATTTTTCACATCTTCCTTTACATAGAATTGCTAGTATACTTAACATGATATTGCTTACATAACAAAAGTAACATCTTATGTTGGAAGATGTAAATAAGAGATACAAAACCACGCAATAATAAATAAGACCTCTTCTTTCTCTGAGAAGACCAGGATAGGGTGACATGGCAATATGAGCCAGCAACTGCAAAACCAGCAGGAAAAATGCAGAAGTTGGGCAACCAAAGCTTATATGACTTACTTAAAAATGAAAGAGTAGAGCTAAAATCTGACAGGCTAAAGATTACTTTAATCTGTAATGTCGAAATGTAATGCCAAACCAGACCGGAAACTGGGAAAAAATGGGACTGACTGAGGGACCAGGCCAAGGGATGAGAGAAGGCAATGTCTATTATGCAAGACAGAAGAACTTCCCCGTGCCCCAAAATGTGGTAACATTTGGCCCCATTTACTAATTCTGTCTTGTCAGTTATTTGTTTGGCATAAATTTATGTCCAGATATAAGTGACTATTAGAATGTCTGAAACTGTATTAAGAAAGGAAAAAATTGAATAAGCCTAAATTGGGTGGACATGTGACTTGTTGATCAACTTTTACCCCCTAGTATTGTCTCTTTACTCTCTCTCTCCTATGCTAGGTGGGGTAAGGAGCTAAGGGAGGCAAAACCCCTGAGTTTGGATGAGACATCCCAGAATGAAGAGCATGACAAAGACCCAGCAGGGTTGGGGCCTATGTAGGTAATAAAAAGAGAGAGTGGGGACCTATATTCCCTGTAAGGTGCATGGCCACACAGCTACACAGCAGGTTATCAAAGGCCATGCAGACATGCAGCCACAAGGGCTTGGAGAGGCAAGATAGGGGCGGGCAAGGCTGCTGTGGCAGGGAGAGGACTGTTAAGATTCCCCCACCCCCCTGCTGTAAGCCCTGGAGCAGCATGCACCCCAAATCCTGGATCCCTGCCCCACCCCAGAGACTGCTGCCCTAGCAGCACCCCACCCTTTACCCAAGTCCTGAGCCCCCTCCTACATTCCAAACTCCCCAGCCCCCACATATCACCTCCATGTAACAAAATTCATTCAGCAAACAGATGTAAAAAATAAGAAGGAACTTTGGTGGGGACTTGAGCAAGGGGACTGAAGGGATCACATTTCTTGTCAGTATTACAATTTGGGGGGAGATTTAACTCTGTCTTATTATAAATTATTAAAAATTGCCATTTGCTGCCTTTTTTATTTATTAGATCATAACTCGTTACTAGGTGATCCACAGAACTGAATCAATACAGCATGAATATACCACAAAGAGTCCATCAGGGTGAATTCGGGGACAGTCCATAAAAGAGCTAAAATTGGACCCATCCATAAAAACATTTAGATTCAGTAAAACAACACTGAGATTTACATAGGAGCCAGAGTCCCTCCCACTTGGTCCCAGGGCAAGCTCTGTGCCACAGGGCAGCTCCAGGGAGTCTACAATTCTACAGGGAGGGGAATCTGCTGGTAGGAGCTCCTTCAACCTGGTTCTGGTTGACAGGGGGGCTGCTCTTTCTCCACCTCTGTCTTTGAACTCTTCTTTTGACACCACTGCTGTGGGCACAGCAGTTACATAAGGTGAGCGTGAAGCACACATCCCTTCTTGGGCCAATGGGGGCAGGTGCCAGACAACAAGATACCCCATGCCTATCACTCCACTGGAAACATTTGAATGAATATGGGGAAGGACCAGGCCCAAGCGAGGAGGCTCCCTAGCTTGTGAGAAAAGAGGATTAGAACTACTGTTAGGGTAAGAAACTGCATGTAACAAGTTTCTTAAGAGTACAGTAAAACTCCGATGGTCCGGCATCTGACAGTCCGGCACCATCAGGAACCCGGAAGTGCTCCGGGCAGCCAGACCATTGGAGCTGCTCTGCCCCCAGCTTCCCCGATTCAGCCCGTGCTAAAACTGACCAGTGGCTGAATCGGGGAAGCTGGAGGCAGAGCAGCTGGGGCGCTGCCGGGTAGGTCCCCTAGCACTGCCCCTGGGGGCTGCGGAACCAACCCGGCAGCACCCCAGGCGTCCTGATTCAGACGCTGCCGAAAATGAACAAGAG